TGGCCTGAAAACACTGTAGCAACTACCAGAAGTGTGCATTTAGGTTGGAAATATCTCAGGGATTGGGAGAACTGGACATGGTAGCTTCACAGTTTTTCCTGCTTACAACCGGGGTGAACAGGTGAGGAGGGGGCAAACTAAGGAGTCACAGAGCGATTATTTCTGACATTCAGAGATGACCAGGAAAGTTTCTGTGTTCTTCCCAGTAGTACTGGCTGTGGTGTGGATTGTGAGATATTCCCAAGACATTCAGAGTTTGTTGGGAACTTGCACCATCTGTCAGAGAAAGGCATGCAGGATATTTATTTGAACACATGATACTGAGGCCACTGCCAAAACAAGGACTGAATGCCCTTTGACCACACACCTAAATGAATGTCGTCAAATGTGGATTAAAGAAGGTTTACTTTTCACGGTTTTGAGTAGCATGGACATAACTTTGGACCACATTTAAAACAATTTCCTTTTCCTTTATGAGTTATAGCTGCTTTTTTCTAATTTTCTCTTCTTCTTTTTACATTATTCTTGAAAGCAGTTTTCCCTGAAACATCTAGCTGTATATATCTATGTATATATATATAGTGTGTGTATATATGTGTATGTACATATATATGTGTGTGTGTGTGTGTATATATATATATATATACATATATATATATACATATACATATACATATACACATATATATATCTCCTAAACATTTTTTAACAAGAAGCAAGGAACTATCCTTATTCTTTAAGTATCTTACCATTTTGTAGATTCTTACTTGGTTGGAAAGCTTGTCAATCAAGTTTCTCCTTTTCATTTTACATGGAGAACAATACACACCCTCAACATCTGTGGCTTCCTTAAAAGCTTACAGTCATTCTGTGAGTTATAATTTATAAAATAGCCATCAATCTTCATGACCTATCTCTGAGACAGGTAGAAATATGACAATAAAAGTAAATACTAAGATCCACCTAGTATTTTCTCATCAACAATAGCATATTTGCAGCAGTGGCACTGCTTCTGTTGATCATGAAGACGGGTCACCTGTGGGAGCAGTGAGCATGCTTCCATTTCAGCTCATTCTACTTTCGGTATTTTGTTACTCAGCCCATACAGCTTATTCAGTATTTGGTCATCACTTTGAGGATCATGCCTATCTTACACCCACCCATCAAAGCAAGGCTGTCTTGCTCTCTTCTCATGGGCAAAGAAGCTGAAGTGGGGAGCAGTCAAGAAACATTGATTACTTACTTACTTAATCGAGCAAGCACTCTTCCTGAACTCTTAGATTTGCTCAACCCCTGCACTAGGTTCCTTCTCTCCCTAAAACCAGGACAGAAAAGGAGGATTTAGTTACCAGGAATGTGTGAGAAGAGAAAGAAGATGCTTTTTAAGTGCTGATCGCTCAGCTCAATGCTATAGTTTTCTCTTGCTGTTCTTGGAAGGCAATATCTTCCTCATTCAGAAAATATTCTATTTTACTGTGCAATAAGGATCCCCCAAGAAGTTCATAAATATGTGGGCACCAGAGAATTGTAGCTTCCAAGAGGCCAGCACTGAGAGTATAAATGTAACCTGAGCAGGTGTTGTGGAGGTTAAGGTGGTTGGATCCTACATCGACGACTGTGTGGTTCAAGTCCTGAATCCAGTGGCTCAGAGGACACGCCAGGTGCATGTGCGTACATGATCAAAATCCCAGGAGGAGACTGGAGGAGAAGGAATTGTGGTATGGCCATCCCCCCTAAGTGGGGTGACTTCTCACTTTCCCTCTGTCTCTGTCTCTCTCTGGAAGGAATATGCACCCTGTAACAAAAACTAGAAAAAAAAGGAGAAAAAAAGAAAGATGCCCAAGAATAGTGGTATGGGATGGGAATGGAAACAGAGAATGATGGCAGATATATGGACAAGAGATCATTTTGGATTGGTAGAAACTACCTAACAGAATTGTGGCTATGGTTGCACAACTCTATAAATAATGTACTAAAATCATTGACTTGTACTTTTAAAATGAGTGGGCTTTTATGGTTCATAAATTATACCTTAATAAAGCTGGTTAAAAAAAAAATCCTGCAATTGTGGATGTCTTGAAAGAACCCTGTTTCCATTCAGCATCTGGGCACCATGGCTCGCCACAGTGCAGCACCAATGTCTGAGGGTGTCCACGTCAGTGTGGAAGTGAGCAGAGAGCTCATGGGAAGGGCTGGAGGCCATGCGATAAGCTGAGTCTGCCACAGGGAGGATGCCTGCCTGAACAAAATGGCACCGCTTTCATGATGGTAACAACTCCAACTAGGTTCCAAAAGGCACAGTTCCGTTCTTCTCTAAGATTTGAAGACTTATTCTCTGAGTGGCCCTAGCTCTTTCATTAGGATTAGAAAGACAACACTTCATAGCCAGAAATCGTACCGTTAAGATATTATCTGCCTGTCTATACTGTCTCTTAAATGATTTGACCAAATGTGCTATAACCCACTAAAAAAAACCTTTCTGTATACCGTTAATATTGCTAATGTAGGCTACTTAACTTTTTATTTATTTATTTTTGCATAGTTGCCATTGTTTAGGAAGGTGTAGGAACTATTTAATGTGCTAGGTTTAAAAGAATTTCCAATCTTTTCACTTTTTTGTTGTTTCTGAAATGAAGACAAGGAAACTTTCAGCATTTGATTTACTGAAGACATTGGTTGGCTTTCCTTTTTACATTATTGAGGCTTGAGATAAAGCTGCAGGTCTCCTCCACTGACCGGAGCGCAGGAAACAATTGACACTGTTTCTCGATTCCCATTGTTTCTGAGACGTTTCCTACTTTCCAGTATAATATAGCTTTCCCATGAGAACAATTTGCTTGCAAATGCTTAGACATGGTACGTTTCTCATTGGCACACATTCTTGGAGAATTTCACTGTGCTGGGTAGTAGTTGAGTTGTGGTGTGTGTCTGTATGTGTGTGTTTGGGGGAGAAGGCAGTTGTCCTGCTTTATATAAAGATATCTCCAACTTCATTTAAGCATAGTGTATTTTCTTTTAAATGCTAATCCAGTCTATTTAGGGTTCTCTAGTCTTTAGTCAGAATCTCTTTCTTGAAGGCGTCTATAATTCTTTTAACCTTGACAATGTAAGGAAACACCCCTATGAGTTATGGTGTTCTTATAGGTGCCTGATGAGTTGCCGTGGAAAGTAGTTCACAGAAATTTATACCAGACATACAGTATGCATCTGTATATATACCAGACATACTATATGCATGTAGGGATGTCACATTGTCTGTGGCACTGTAAAGCTGTCATCAAGGAGTAATTCCAGAAATGGGAAATGAAACCCATAGATGAGATCATCTTATCTAGTTTTCTGTTAAAAAAAGAAGCGTTCACATTTCTTTCAAAATGATGGTTCCCACCTTCAGAAGTGATGATGTATATAAAGTGAAAGTAAAGTTTCTCAATTAAAAAAAGATGTGGAACTTTGAGTTCTTCTTCTTCTTTTTTTTGTTCTTATCAGATTTTGTAAAAATAATACCACTTGTCAGTTTTGCAGCTCCTTCCATCTAGTGAACTGAAAGCGTTTCACAATCTTTTTTTCCTCATGCCCTTCTCTTCAAGGCAATTTTTGCTGGGCTGAGTTTATTTTTATCATTGCAACAACCAGTTTTTAGAAACTTTTAGAAACGAAAAAAGGAAAATGAGAATGGCACTGTAGCTGACATTCATTTGAGCTGTTTCCTAGTGTGAACATTTGAGTATTTCTAAAATCTCTCCGAGTATGTCTTATTTTTCTCAGTTTGTCCCAGTTCTAAGTCTCTATTCTGCTGATTGGGAAAAAAAAAAAAAAAAAGTCTTTTCACAAAACCTTATCCCCAGCAGAATGACTTTTTGAACTTGGAGGTAGATCTTTATTTTTGCAGTTCTACAGTTCCTTTGAGTGTCCTATTCAGTGTAATCATAGAGTCATGGCAGGTTAGAACTGGAAGTTGCTTCAGGGATTACCCAGTGTGAGTGTCTCATTATATAAATGATGAGGTTGAGGCCCACAGTGGTTAAGGGACATGCTAAAGATCAAGGATTCCTGGTTTCCAGTTCAGTATCCTGTGATTTTCCTACACAAAAGCCGTCCATCTGGGTAGAACCAGATACACTCTTACAGAATACTAGTACCAGCCAACAGGTTGAATTATTGATACATTGTAGCTAACTGACAATTGGGAGGAAATTTTATTTTTCCAATTTGAGTTTGCCACATATATTGAGTCGCCAGAAAAGTCATGACGCCTTTTTGCGTAGACAAACCAGAAAAATAGTCATGACTTTTCCGACGACCAAGTAGAATGGTAATGTGGAATTCATCCACATTTTCTTCTGAGCTGCAGCTCTTTCGAAAGGTATATGAAGCAGACAGCACGGTTTGAAGTGACCGGTGATTTGTGTCCTTTCCTTAGGCCACCACACCATCTACATCGGGGTCCATGTGCCCAAGAGCTACAGGAGAAGGAGACGTCACAAGAGAAAAACAGGGCACAGAGAAAAGAAGGAGAAAGAGAGGATCTCTGAGAACTACTCCGACAAATCTGATGTGGAGAATGCAGATGAATCCAGCAGCAGCATCCTAAAGCCTCTCAGTGAGTACTCTCTGGGGTTGGTGCCTCTCCCGGCCTCACTCACTCATCCTTGGAAAAGACTCGTTTACCTGCTCAGACTCCTGTGGCTAATGAAGAAAGAGCATGGTAATACTGGGCTGGTCTCTAGAGAATAATGTCTGTGGAGATGCTTTTCCGGGCCCAGCAGGTTGATCTAGCAGGCCATCTGGTACGATGCTGAGTAGCTCCGAGAAGACCTGATGCCCATTATGTGTAGCTGGGTAGTCTGCATTTTGTGAGTGAGGTAGGGTCGTGTGTTGTAGATGGCATTTACTCAGTCATCGGCAGTTACTGGAAGACTCCTAAAGAACTGAGGTTATTGTTTCTGTTTAGACATAGGTTCTGTTGGGACAGGATGTCAAGATGAGAGTATGTGCAGATATTTATGCCCTTCCAAGTGTCAGAGTTATAGGTGGTATTCAACCGTGTTGTGGGCCAGGGCAGTGATTTAAAGAGGAATTGTGGAGAAGCATGCCCTAAGTCAGAGAAGAATGAAATGGCACCGCTGCTGAAATTTGACCATTTTAAGTATCACACATTGGGGAAAAGTATTGTTAAAAACAGGATAGCCGGAGGTCAGAGAACACCCCGGGGTTCAAGCGATAGGACTGTGTTTCGGTGTACTTTCAGGTTGCTTTTTGTTTCTTTTGGCTTTACGGGTAGCCTTGTGGCTGAAGTGAGAATGAGCCTCGTGGCTGAAGTGAGAATGTGCAGTAGCAACTCATGCCAGTTTTGGGAGATTCCCCAACAGGAGTTGCACAGTGACAGCTTTTCATGTTGGCAGACCTCTGTACATTCTTCCTCTTTGCCACAGTTGCAGAAACACGGACCCTGCAATAAAATGCGTTATGGGTGGCACAGATAAAGATCGAGTTCAGTCATCACAGGCGATGACAGGCCAAATTAGAATGAACAGCTCAGGGGTGTTGAAAAGTGAATTTACAGAGTTAAATTAAAGAGGGTGTGAGGCATAATGATGTGAGTCTTCTCACCATTGAACTGAGCAGGTGGCTTGGGAGTTAGAGTGTTGCTGAGCCCAGCGGGGCAATACAGATGGGCCTTCAGTTACATAAAGGCTGGAGGAGAGTTGAGAGATGCAGCCTGAGATTAAAACAGAAAGGTGTTGGAACAGATGTTAAGACCGGGAAGCAGCCAGAGGGCAGGAGACTAAAGTTATATGCTTTTCATTAGACTATTGGGGGAAGACTTTTCTGAGAGGGATTCTTCATTTATCAATTGAAATAAAGGATTCTGTTTCAGGCAAAGTCCCTGAAATGCACATAAAGAAAAGTCACAGCTAGTCGTTTGGAGGAATACAAGGCAACATCACTTTCCAAATAAATTACTACCGTTTATCTCATTTTACTGTCTGTTTGGCAAGGCCTGAGCTGGTATCAAAGACGTGCTCTCCCTAGTGAGCTGGAATACCTTCCTCTCTCCCCCCACTTTTCTTCTCTCTCTCTCTCCCCACTCTTCCTTTCCCTTCACTGTTTCTTTTTCTATGTCTCTTTTATTACTTGTCCTGCATTCTGTAATTGAAAAACACAAGCACATCATCCTTCTAAATACTGAAAAGGAAAGAAATGCTCACTGGACAAATGGGCCAAGGGATTTCGAGGTGATAATTATGTACCAGCTTTGTAGGAAGGGCAGTGGAAGCGGTGCCAGCCCCACTCAGAGAGTTAATAAGGAATGCACAGAACGGAAGACGCTGAAGCTGTGTGTGTATCAGCCACAGGATCGTGCCTTTTTCTGTGGCATTTGGGGATCCGTTTGAGTTCAGTATGTGAAATAAACAAGGTCCTCCGTTCTCTTTATCCTCAGAGTTCTCCTCCTGGGGGATTTCTGCATTCTGTTTTATACTGAGTTTCTGAGGAGAGCCTATGGAGAGACAGTTGTTAAGGATCCAAATGTTCAATGATCTTAAGGCAGCTATTTATAAATTTGCAGTGTATAGTTAGTCTTATTATTTTTTCCCTGCTGGTCAATAAGTTATGCAATAATATACTTTTGACCTATTTTATGCGAGCATCCAATTTGACATGAAGGTTCTGTTGCTTCTGATAGATTGTCACTTGGTTATCTGGTTTAGTTTTACTTCCCAGATATAGAAAGACACTTAACCCCATGATTTTGCAGAAGCCCCAGGACTCTGACATCAATATGACAATAAAACTTTCATGGGAAGACTCCCTTAATGAAATATCTTCCTAGCATACCATTATTGTCTCTCAAGAACGGCCACATACAGTTTATTATCCTTTGATCTAGGGTGTTTGAGTCACTTATGTCTAAAGACACATCATGTCCCCATAGCAAGATTCCCACATGTGCCTGGCAGTATGTCATGTGATACTCATACATTCTGAAAAACAAACAGCCTACATATAAATAGTAACTTGAGAGTCATCTCTGATCCTTGGCTTGCTTTTACCCCCATAGGCAATCCTTCAATGACTTCTCTTAGTTTGAATTCTAAAATACGTCAGAATCCCTGCTTCTTTTCAGTTTTACTGCAGCATTTTGGTCTAAGGAAACTTAATTTCTTGCTTAGATAACTGCAACAGCCTCCACTTTTCAGGTCTTATTCGCCACAGAGGCAACACTGATGATCATAAAGTGCCAATTGGGTCATGTCCTTCTTCTGCTGAAGAATTTTTATTGCCCTTAGAATAAAATTCCAGTTGTGTACTGTGGCCCACGGTGTCTCTCCAGTCTTGACTGTGTCATTCTGTTTTTGTCCACTTTACTTTAGTCCCACAGTGTTTTCGTTTCTTCTTCTTTTTTTGGAGAGGTTTTCGCTATAGGGCGTGTGCGCTCGCCAGACAGAGACATAGAGACAGAAAGCGAGAAATCACGCCCCAGGGGGGATGGTCATGCCACAATCCCTTCTCCATTCTCCTTGCGGTATCTTGGGCACATATGCACACGCGCCCTGCATGAGTTCCAAGCCACGGGGTCCGGGACACGAACCACGGTCTACTACGTGGGAATCCAGCGACATAGCCATTACGCTAACTGCTGGTTCCCAGTGTTTTCGTTTCTTGATGCTAAACTTCTTGTGTCTCAGGGCCTTTGCACGTGCAAACCTGTCTTCCTGCAATGGCCACCCCATTCTTGCTCTGGTTAGATTTCCCCTTTAAATGGTACTTTTTCTTTTTTTCTTTTTTTTTCTGGAAAGGTTTTTGCTATAGGGCATGTGCGCTGGCCAGACAGAGAGAGACAGAGAGTGAGAAATCACCCCCTGGGGTGGGGGTGGGGGGTGGTCACGCCACAATCCCTTCTCCTCCATTCTCCTCTCGAGATCTTGGGCACGCATGCACACGTGCCTGGCATGAGTTTAATCCACCGGGTCCAGGACTCAAACCGCGGTCGACTACATGGGAGTCCAGTGACACAGGCATTACGCAACTGCTGGTCCCAAATGGTATCTTTTCTAAGAGGCCTTTCTGGACTATGCTATATATTGCAGGTGTTCCGTGTTATCCTTACCCAGCTCCTATTTGTTTCCTTTGTAACACGTTTCAACTTGTGATTTTGTGAGCCTGCAGCTTTTTCTGATCTGATGCTGGATCGTAAGCTCCAGGAGAGCAAGGGTCAGATTTGCCTTGTTGGCCGTGTTATCTCCGGCACTTAGTGTGCCTCTTGACACTTAGTAGGTGTTTAATCCATATGTAGTGAGGAGTAATTGAGTGAATGGATTACTACAGAGGAAGGAGTAAGTTTTGCTTTATCGCTCTAAATATGTCCCACAATCTACTGGAAAAGTCATAGCATATTTTTCTGTTTTTCTGTGGAAAAACTGTCATGATTTTTCTGACGACCCAATACATTGCGATCTGGCTGACTTCCTTGATTTCAGCCCATGCACAACACCTGTCTGCTCGCTCTGCCTTCCTCCCTGGCTGTATGAAATCCGCTCCTAACTTTTAATTGTCGCACATTGGAAAGCGCCTCATTATTTCAGCTATTGCCAAGGTGGTATTTCGTTCTGGGTGGATGACTCCCAAGTGTGTGGAGTTCCTTGTTACCCACATGTGGTGGAAGAAATTGATCCACAGGGCATATGGATTTCTGTACACTTAAAAATGTCACTCTTCTATACAGGACTTGGATGCTCTGCTTCAGAAGCCACTGTAAGGAGGCATGGAAGTAAATAATGAAAGGCATTTATAAGGAAAAATAAGGCAGATATCTTCCAGTATTTAGGCCCATCAGGAAAATGGCATAATTAACAGGTTCATTTAGCTTAAGAAAGAGAGGCTTTTAGTTTTCTCTGTGGTTCTGGTACCAAGACAGGGTTCTAAACCGTGAATGTGCATTTGATGTTTACACGTTGGGTGCTTTGAGGAGGGAGCTAGCCAGCCTCATCTCCCCCTCTGAGCTCAGCAGCAGCTCGAGTCTCGCATGACTGCTATTCCCAGTGTGGCAGCAGAGCTGGCGTCCCAGCTGGGACGCAGAGAAGGAAGCGTGCGTGAGAGCATGGTGCTCAGAGCAACAGGGAGAGAGGCTGGGGAAGAAAAGCGAAGTGGAAGAACAAGCAGGAGGAGAGACAAGGGAATGAGGAGGTGGTGTGGAGTGGGCGGTGGAGAGAAAACTTAGATTGTGCTCTGTCTTAAAAATAATCCTCTTGCCTCCTCCACGGTGCACTTTTTCTTTCTTTCTTTTTATTTTTCTTTCTTTCTTCTTCTTCTTCTTCCTTTTTTTTGCCCCCCAAGTTAGCAGCTGCCATCCTCTCAGGGTTGCCCAAAAAGAGGATGGGAAGGTGGTCTTGTCGGAGATAGACACTGCATGGCTTCCACCATAGATGCTTTTGGTCTCTGCACCTTTCCCTTTATTGGTGTCTTGGGATATTTTGGAGGCATTACAGGCTCTTTTGTGATGGCAGAGACTCTGAAAATGTGTAAAATGGTAGGAAATATTGTTACAGACAGAACGCTGTGCTCAGCATATCGATCTGACGTGTAACATGTATCCTGACA